CCTGGATGCGGCCTTCAATAGGGCAGAGATCAGCAGCAGCAGAGGGGTGCGCCAGGGAGATCCATTGGGACCGCTCCTCTTCGCCGCAGCCATTCAACCAACGTTGATGCGCGTGGCGAACTACTGCCCCAAAGTGATCATCCTAGCCTACGCTAACGACATTGTAAGAAATAGAGTTGAAATGATTGATTAGGTAAGGAGCCCAAGGCTCTATAAGTACATGGCAACGTGAGAGAGAATGGATGAAGGGGAAATTGGAGGGAATCCCCATTGGGATCCCCGGAATCTCCAATTGGGTAATTGGAGATTGTGGGGATCACAATTGAGTGAGGTTGGGAATTTGTGAGTACACCCCAACCCACTAAAACATTGACAACCTAAACTAGGATATAAAAGTACAAATACAAAAGTGGTATTTGCAGTCTATTTCTAACACACCCCCATAGACTGCAAACCCGGTCAAGGAGCACATAGCCCCATGGAACGGAGAAGGCGATGGTGGTCAGCCTTGCCGAGAGCCTTGGTAAAGAGGTCGGCGAGGTTGCAATCTAAGGCGATGTACCGTACCGTCAGCTGGTCACTCTGAACAAGATCTCGGATGAAGAAATGACGAAGTTCGATGTGCTTGGTGCGAGAGTGGAACACAGGATCCTTGGTGAGATGAATGGCACTCTGGTTGTCACACCACAGGGTGGGCGACTGCTGGGGGTAGCCTAACTCAGCGAGGAGAAAGGAGAGCCAGCGTGCCTCTTGAGCAGCCATTGTGCCCGCGTAGAGCTCGGCCTCGCAGGACGACAGGGAGACTGCAGAGGACCGAGTGGAGCGCCAGCTGATGACTCCGCTACCATGGGTGAAGCAGTACCCTTGGGAGGAGCGTCTGTCAGTCTGGTCATCGGCCCATGAGGAGTCTGTGTATCCCTCGAGCTTGACTGGAGAGGTACTACCAAGAGTGAGGATGTGAGACTTGGTGGCTTGTAGATAGCGGAGGACCCTCTTGGCTGCAGACCAATGCGAGGCAGTGTAGAGTCCGGGGGAGACGTACCGAGAGAGGACACTAACCGGGTAAGCCAAGTCTGGTCGAGTGCACATCATGGCATACATGAGTGAACCGACTAGCTCAGGGTACGGGTCCTTGCAGGCGTCAGGAGAAGGAACTGGAGGGGCCGTGAGCTGATGCTGTAGTGGGAGTGGAGTGGAGACAGAGTTACTGGAGTCCATGTCGAACCGCTTGAGAAGGTTGTCGATGTAGGACTCCTGGGAGAGGGTGATCGTGCAAGCCTGGCGGTCACGAGTGATCTCCATCCCCAGGTAGTTCTTGAGGTCACCAAGATCCTTCATGAGAAGGGCGGAGCTGAGAGCAGACTGGACAGCTGCCATGCCGGTTGGATCTCTGGCGGCTAGAATGAAGTCGTCGACGTAGACGAGGATGTAGAAGGGCTCGGAGGAGTGACGAACGAAGAGACTGGAATCTGAGGCAGAGGGATGGAAGTCAAGTGCGAGGAGGACTTCCTTCACCTTGTTGTGCCACTCACGAGGAGCCTGCTTGAGGCCATACACTGGGCGCTTCAGCTTCCACACTGTGTTGGCAGGGTAAGTGCCAGGAAACCCCGGTGGGCGTTCCATGTGAACATCCTCCTTGAGCTGGCCTTGGAGAAAGGCGGAGGAGGCGTCCATGGACTTGATCTCGAAGTTGCCGCGAGCGGCTATATCAAGAAGAGCGCGTACAGTCGGGAGCTTGGCCGTGGGCGAGAATGTTTCGAAGAAGTCGAGATACTCCTTCTGGGTGAAACCCTTCGCCACGTATCGTGCCTTGAACAGTGGAGCTTCGCCTGGGAGTTGTTTGACTCGGAAGATCCATTTTCCGCCGACGATGTTGACACCGGAAGGGGGAACAACATCGTCAAAGCTGTTGTTGCGAATGAATGCCTCGTTCTCCACATCCATTGCTGCCTTCCACTCCTTCTTATAAGGCCCCGATAGAGCTTCCTCTTTTGTGCGAGGAGTCGGAATGGTCGGGTTCTCGGT